TAAGGAATTGACTAGAACATAGATGGAACTAATGGAAGATAAGGATGATTTTTATATAAAATCATCTTGCTTCTGGCTCCCATCTTCAAAACGGGTCATTCTTCTTTTCAGGTACTAGGGTGTCTGGGGAGGGACACTTCCTCAAAGGGAAATTCATATCTTGATTTTAGACAGCTGAGCAGAGGGCAGAGAACTCTTCTGAAAAATGTTCATTCTCAGTTGCCTTCAGCTCAATGTAATCCTTATCCCAAAGTGGCACATAATATCCTGGTCCCCTTCATCTTCTAGGTTCCTCAACTATGAGAATGAAGCTTTTATTTCTTTTTCTTTTCCTTTTTAATTATTTGATGAAACTTGTCATTAATGATGTTTGTTTTTTTTATGTACTTCATAGGAACTAAAATTAAAATGGCAGCTGAATCAGCAGCACCAGGAAAACTCAGTCTTCTAAATTGCATAACCATTGAAGTTAACCTTTAAAATTGAAATTCTGCAGCACAAAAGATTTAAATGCTAAAAGATTCATAAGATGGATCTTAATTTGGAAGTATATCTGTGCAAGAAACAAAAAGACGATAGAAAACGATTAAAATATTATTTTCAGTGCATTCTCAGCTGGCTTCAGAAGAGCTAGGAAGGTCAGAGTGAATAACTAATAATTTTAGCAAAAACTATCAATAATTTTTAATGAATGGACCCACCCACTATGAACCAAAGAAATGACAAACTCCAGGACTTCTCACAAAGTATTTTTTTTTCATGAAAGTTATCAAGAAAGTTTTAAAATTTTATTCATAAAGAGGGACATTCAAATACTTAAAATTAATAAAAATATTTCTATATTCTACATATAGAAAGCTTCAAAACTAATTTCTGTTTGCTAAAAATAATTTACACAGTAATATTTTTTTTAAATATCAAGGTCATAAATTTTTAATGTTATTTTCCAAATTAATTTATAAAGTTAATGTGAGTTTTGTATTGTTTTTGTGGCGGTGGGGATTGAACTCATGATCTCATACATGCCACATAAGTATTCTACCACTGAGCTATATATTCCCAGCCCTAGAATCAATGTAATTCTAAGCAAAATCTCAATATGATTCATTGTTGTTTTTAAAAATCAGGAAAAAATGGAATAAATTCTAGAGGAAAATGGACAGAAAATGTACTTTTAATATTTGAACAGTAAGAGCAATAACAGATGTAGCATATCACATGTTTGAATATATAAAGCTACGAATACAAGTACTGGGCAAGCTACTATGACAACAGGGTCAGGAGGAGAAAATGATGAACAAGAGTAAATATGTCCTCTATGTGAGAGTATTCTAGTGAAATCTTTTAAAACAGTATGCTTGTCATTCTTTTTACCTCCTGAAGTTCCTTTTGCACTGATTGCTATTTTTTTTTTTTTTAACATTTCATTGCTGTGGGTTGAACCCAAGGCCTCATTCATGCTAGGCAATCATTCTGTCACTGAGCTGCATCCCCAGTCCTGATCACATTTTTAGTTTAAATTTTTCACCATTACATCCCCAGTCCTGATCACATTTTTAGTTTAAATTATTCACCATCACATCTAAGACAAATGCTTGTGGAATTTATTTATGATTTTGTCATAATTACTAGTTTGTTCACAGTAATTCTTAAGGAGTCAAATGGAGCTTGCAGAGGGAATGGAGACTTCTCACGATACACAGCCCTCTCCCCATGTTCTGATGTGTACCTCCTGATGAAGAGTGACTGCTTCTCTAGGAAGCATTTCCTTAGTTAGCCACAGATGAGAATAGGCTCTATTAATAATTAAGTATTTTTGTGGATAAAAAAACTGAGTGCCCCTGACATAAAGTAAAATGAAAATCTTTAATAGCTTTTATTCTGTGGATCAGAACTCTCTTATCCACAAATTTAAAACTATTGCCGTCTTTCTGGCCTTCCTCTAATCCTTAAGTCTCTGTCCATTCCAACCACTTTGGCTTTCCTTGACACACCGCATCTTGCGGTCAGCTGGATTTCTCCTTGAAAAGAGAATAAAGATTTTAGAAAACTGGCTTCAGGTCTTGACTATCCATAACCTCATTCCCTTGCCTGTTTGCTCTCCCTCTCGCCCATCTGGGAAATATATAAATATATATCTGTGTGATTGTGTGCTACCTGCAGTATCTGTGTTGAGCACCCTGAAGCTCTTTGCTCATCCCCAGAAGAGAAGCAAATGTGGCATTTAACTGAACTGCTTACTTCAGCCTGAGTAAGGGAGATAGTTCAAAAAGCTCTTACTTGACAGAGTTTTATCACTAAATTCTGTATATATGATTTTCCCAAGGTTTAGTACGATGAGATTTCCTTTGAGAAAAGTATTATGATATGAATTAAAACACCAGATTTGTAGACAAAACATTGTGGACTTGCGTTTTATTGGTTGCATGTGCCTGAGCAAGACACTTAAATCTTCTCTGCTTTTTTTTAAAATTTAAAATTATGTATATATTAGCAAAGTACATGATCCTCATAGTGAAAGTGGTTGAATAAAAGAGATGTTTTGTAATTATTGTCATATTTTGAAGGCTCTATTCCTGTAGACATGAAATTAATATTATTTTGTATGTGAGGCTGTTTCAAGCCAATATAAAGTAAAAGATATATGTTATTTCTGTTTATAAGGAACCACAGAGTTTCAAATCAATTCATATGTAATGATTCAGGACCTTAAAAATAGCAATGTCTTTGCAGCCAAGTGTGTAGTCTAGCTAAACAGGTGGTTTTATAATAAAGATCATCTGAAGTTTTTAATAAGCGGTATTAAACATAGACTGCTAACAGTGCACAATTGGTAACTTGTTCCTTTTATAATAGTGCTTTAGTATTCCACTGAAACATGGTTAGTGGATGTGCAATATTCTTTGTTACCATTATGAGGGACTGTGTATATTACAGCTTCTCTACTGTCTCTGCTGTTAGCTGGGAAAATGTTGGGAGCAACAGCAGCTACTATCAACAGGGAGCCATATTAATTATTTGAAATGTGCCTCATAAGAGGAATCAGCAGAGTTTATTACAAGTCGAATATTACTTGAAACGGGAAGGTTACTCTAACTGTTATCATAATCTATGTATCATTAACTTTCCTTGTTTAGGAAAAGAGATTAACAACCCTGTAAATTGCTATAGTAAATGTGAGAAATATAACTGCATATTCCCATGTAGAAAGGAAGTGGTGGATTCTTCACTTCTACCCAAACCTTTTTTTACATAAAGCAGCTTTAGAAAATGAACTGACTCTGTAATTATGCTTCCTTGCCTCAAAATCCTAATGGTTTGCTGCATCATCAATATAAACTATAGTTACTATGAGTATTAGAAAGAAAATTGTATTTAAGCTAGCTTTTTTTTCCCTAAGACAGGGCCTCACTGTGTTGTCCAGAGTAGTCTTGAAAATGCTAACAGTTTTTTAAAATCACCATTTTGACTTCCAAATCAACTAGCACTTAAACTCATAAGACAAAAAGCATATTACACTTAAGTATGTGAGCAGATAGAATGCTTTATTAGAAATAGAGAATGAATCCAGCTATTTGCTGTTTAAATTATGACTCCTTCTTGTTTTTCCATCAAATACAATAAGCAGGTAGGAATGTTTTATCTATTCAAATAATGGAAGAAAATCCTCAAGGTAAAATATAAGTTAATCAGTGCTGTCAAGTGGTCTAAATAAATGTTACTCAAAGTGTCATCTGTATGTTGAGTGCCAGTTTGCAAATTGTTTATTACTTCTCTGCAATAAAATGAGTACAAATATTGAAAGCAGGTTGACAGAGCACTTAATATCTGTTTAATCTAGCAATAAAAAATGGGAACTTGAATTTTTTATGTCTTTGAAGTTTTTCCATTTCATTTTTCTTATAACTCGTTTTTAAAGTATCACTGCATAATACATTTATAATTTAAATAAAAGGAGAGGAAGACTTGTTGAAGCAACAATTTATTTGGGTGATGTTTGGATGATTTATTCTATATTTATGTTTGGGAATATTTGTCTAAACTCTGAAGTGAATATTAATTCAATGTAGAGCTAGAAAATATGCTGGTGGGACTGCAAATTGGTGCAGCCAATTTGGAAAGCAGTATGGAGATTCCTGGGAAAGCTGGGAATGGAACCACCATTTGACCCAGCTATTGCCCTTCTCGGACTATTCCCTGAAGACCTTAAAAGAGCGTACTACAGGGATACTGCCACATCGATGTTCATAGCAGCACAAGTCACAATAGCTAGACTGTGGAACCAACCCAGATGCCCTTCAATAGATAAATGGATAAAAAAAAAAATGTGGCATTTATACACAATGGAGTATTACGCAGCACTAAAAAATGACAAAATCATGGAATTTGCAGGGAAATGGATGGCATTAGAGCAGATTATGCTAAGTGAAGCTAGCCAATCCCTAAAAAACAAATGCCAAATGTCTTCTTTGATATAATGAGAGCAACTAAGAACAGAGCAGGGAGGAAGAGCAAGAGGAAAAGATTAACATTAAACAGAGACATGAGGTGGGAGGGAAAGGGAGAGAAAAGGGAAATTGCATGGAAATGGAAGGAGACCCTCATTGTTATACAAAATTACATACAAGAGGTTGTGAGGGGAAGGGGGAAAAAAACAAGGGAGAGAATTAAATTACAGCAGATGGGGTAGAGAGAGAAGATAGGAGGAGAGGGGAGGGGAGGGGGGATAGTAGAGGATAGGAAAGGTATCAGAATACAATAGTTACTAATATGGCATTATGTAAAAATGTGGATGTGTAACCAATGTGATTCTGCAATCTGTATTTGGGGTAAAAATGGGAGTTCATAACCCACTTGAATCTAAAGTATGAAATATGATATGTCAAGAGCTATGTAATGTTTTGAACAACCAACAATAAAAAGAAAATATGACATCATAAGAACAAAAGGCGTAATAAGACAGAGCTTCTATGTCTTAACATTTCTTTTTGTGTCCACAGGACAAGCACATCATGGACAGGTTTCCTATATCTCTCCACCAATTCACCTTGACTCTGAGCTGGAAAGACCCCCTATTAGAGGTGAGTTCTTCCCTATTAAAAAAAAAAAAGAAACAATAGTTTCATCAATGATCAACATTCTTTGATGAGGTTCAGTAATTAAAGACAGTTAGTTGTAAATATGTATTTTGTACTGCAGTGATTGTTTAAAAAGCAGGGATTAAAAAAATAAAGTGTGTGAGTAGTCTGGGAACAGAGAGTCTTTCTTATATTTGAAAGTGTGAGCTATTGTTCTGGGGAATACTTGTAAGTCAAAATATAACCAGAATACAGCAGCTTTATAAAACAGGGATCTATAGTTATTCAACTAATGGTGGACAAGTTGAGATCACTAGATAATATTACTTTTTTACAAGAATTTTTTCTTTTTTTCCATTATCCTATCTTTCACATTATAATATCTTGATCAAAAGCATAATGACACATTTATTTTTAGAAATTGTCATTTTATTGTGATTCCATTTAAAAGTTATTTTATTATTACTAAAATCACTTAGTTTTAAAATTAAATTATGTATTTTCAAATTGGTGCCACTTGATGTTTTAGTTAAAGCTTTGTTGAATAGTCATACAAAATGAAAGTCCAAAGGTTAAAATTAAATGATTCAAAATACAAGTAGAGATGCTTGGCATGGTGGTGCATGCCTGTAATCCCAGCAACCTGGAAGGGTGAGGAAAGAGAGCCACAAGTTCAAAGCCAGCTTCAGCAATTTAACAATGCCATGTCTCAAAAAATGAAAAGGTCTGGAGATGTGGCTCATTGGTTAAGTGCCCCTGGCTTCAATCCCCAGTACCAAAGAAAAGCACAATTCGAGAATTATTTTTTGTGCTTTTATATAAGCACTTATCCTGCTGGGCACAGCATCATATACTTGTAATCCCAGAGGCTCGGGAGGCTGAGGATGAGGGTCACAAATTCAAAGCTAGCCTCAGCAACTTAATAAGCCCTATTCACTTAGTGAGACTGTCTCAAAATAACAACTAAAAGTGGGCTGGAGATGTGGCTCAATGGTTAAGTGTCCTGGGTTCAATCCCTGATAAAATAAAGAAAGAAAGAAAAAAAGAAAGAATGAAGCACTTATCTATGGTTTTCAGAATGTTTCATAAAAAAAATGTTTCATAAAAAGAGATCAATGCAGATTTTGTTTGTTTGTTTTCAGCAGTACTGGTATGGAACCCAAGAACACTCTACCTCTGAGCTATGCTCTCAGCCCTTTTATTTTTTTGAGACAGGGTCTTACTAAACTGCCCAAGCTGGTCTCCATCTTGAAAATTCTCCTGCTCTGCCTTCAAAACAGCTGGGATTACAGGTGTGTGCCGCTGTGCCTGGCTCAAAAAAACTAATGTTTTTTAAACATGTCCTCAAATTTTATAAATACCAGTTATCCCAAGGTCACTTTTTGGTTTTAGCTAATGCAGCACTTTTTTTTTTTTTTAAGTATCACCTGATTTAAAAAAAGAAAATTAGATCTGATTATTTTTTAGCATGTTTTATGTCCAGGCTTTTTACCTCTTGTCTAATAAATTTCTGCCAGCTTGTCAAGGCACTACTGTATTATCAGTTCCTCAGAAGGGAGGAGCTCTATGCCTCTGTCTGTGCTTCCTTCCATTATAACTAAGGCATTGTATTTGATAGAGCAGCATGCATGTTTCCCTCTCTTATCTGTATGCTCCTGGAGGGCAGAGGGTACCATGATTATTATTTCTCTCCAGCCATTGGTCTATGCTTGACACATATTGGCAACTCATCCAGTGATTTCTGTCCAAATGACTAACAGTCTAGATTTTGAAAAATGCATTTATGTTTTTTAAGAGAAAAAAGAGGCAGGGATGAAAAAAGAATCCCACAGAAAGGAAACAGAATGAACCACAACATGGAACATGGGAGCAATTCTACAGAGAAAAAAAAATGGAATAATGTAATTAAGACTGTGAAGGTTTCTGTATTCTTTACTAAGGAGTTTGGAGAAAAGAACCATGAAGTACTTTTGGGTGTTTCCCCCCAAGTCAATGATGTGTTACATCATAACATTTCAGTTCTTCATATAAAGAAAACATCTCTGATGTTCCTATAGATAGTGATCTGATAAGTGAAGAAATTAGCAGAGGAAGCTTATCCAGCAGTTCAGACAGACGATGATGGGGCAATTAGGAATGTGTTTCTGACCATGAAGTAATTATTGGTAAACATGGAATTGTGTTTTAAAACTATTTTGAGTTTGGCACAGTGGTGCATCCTTTTAGTCTCAGCTACTCAGGAGGCTGAAGCAGGAGGATTGCAAGTTCAAGGAGAATCTCTGCAAATGAGGCAAGATTGTGTCTCAAAAATAAAAAGGTCTGGGGATGTAGCTCAGTGATAGAGTACCCCTGAGTTCAGTTCCCAGTACCACAAAATAAAGCAACAACAACAACTCTATTTTGAAAATGAATGATGTGTGTGTATATACATGCACACTAACACAACATTATCTTCTTTCTTTTCATGTTCTGTAATCCATGAATCATTTTGGGTTTATTCTGTATGTCACCATCCTACCTTTTCTCATTTTCACTGTAACTTTTTATGGAAATGTATTATATGATAGTGCTGCATTTATTTATCATAATGTATTTCTTTTTGACATATGTCCAGTAATGTCTTACTAACCATAAGGAAAACGTAGTAGCAACTTACACAATACCTTTAAATAAAATGTATTCTCTACAATTGCAAAGTAGCTGTTGTATATAAATTCAGTGGCACTTATCCACTAATGAGTAAATTTGAGAGATTCTGTTCTTTAAATCTAATGTGATCATACATGGTATTTGGTCACATAATTTATGCTTGTGATAACTTTATGTGCATTCTTCAATTTACAGATTTTATTACTGAATAGAGGTGTAAATTCCAATAGTTTACTAGTGCATTAATGTCACAATACATTACAAGGTAATTAACCAGAGCTGCCACTATAAATAGAAAAATAGTCACAGCCTTCACTATAAACTACTTAATAAAAATAAGGTCCTGAATCAGCATTCACCATTATAGTAATTTTTCTTGACATATGTCCCATTAATCAGGACTTTAAAAAAAACAGCTTCATCTGGAAGTAGTGTTATTTTTTAGCCATTCATTATTAAAACAGGTTTGTTACAATTTTGTACTTATTTTAATGGGATTGGTTATATATTTCACTATGAAAATAAATTCTACATGTCTTTGAGACACATTTCCCACTTTATACAAGTGGAAATGAAAGAAATACTATTTTGGTTATTTTGTGGCATATTGGTAAATAATTGCATTGTAATTCTTAATAGGGCTCATTAAGTATTGGAGTTCTCCAAGTCATGTGTCCCTCCAATTTTTCTTTCTTGCATCCTTTATTTTGCCTCCTAACTATTCATATGCAAAATATCCTTCTCTAAAATTCTGTCTATATTACAGGCAGAACCACTCAAAAAAAGTGATTGTGTGGGACTTGGTGTAGAAGCTGAATTAGAGTCCCGAGCAGAGGCATACATTGTTGGGGATTCAGACATAACCCATCATACTCCCTCCGGTTGAATGTGCCGTTTTTGCTTTTTCATTTGCTTGTGTCATTGTTTTCCTATACAACTTGGAGATGGCCTTGGCTGTCAATCATGGAACCCAACCTAGGAGTTCTTCACATCGCTAGCAAGTAAAGTTGGATAAATTCATGTGAATTACAAAAAAAAGATATTAACTTCTAAAATGTCCTCCATTTATATTACTAAAGATGATATTTTGAATGTTTCACTATATTGCATTTATTTTGTATAGTCTTTCTTTAGGTAGCATCTCAATAAGAAGTCTAATATTGAAATGTACTAGTTTGTACATTTGCTAATTTTGACAGTTACAATCTATACTCTGAGAAAAGAGCTCAAATATTGGCTCACATTTGAGAAAATTGCATCTATTTTTTTCCAGTTTTTTCTATAATAGACTGAGTAATATAAACATGGTTCAATTGGCACATAATCAATGAACTAGAATAATGCCAAGCATTAAGTTTCATGTGCGAATTGAATTACATTCAGCAAATCCACACACTGAAAATATTTTTTAAAGTTCAAAATAAGCAGATGGTCCTGCCTGGTGCATCTACATTAAAAATAGACTGTAGCCAAGATTTAGCATCACAAATTAGAGATGTTAACACACAGTATCAGCTAAGTGAAACGTAAAAACATTTCAAACTGATTAAAGTAAAATAGGAATGTGACATCTGGCATTGTTATTCCAGAGTTTCTAAGCCCATTCTCTAATATTCTACAACGGGTGCTTTTCTAACTAATCTGGTTAGTATACACTATCTGGCAGAACATAAATCTCCTAGCTTTACCTATGCTTATCCCAAGAAAATGAAAATGCTCTGGTCATGGTACTTCAACACGCTTATCCTACACTTGTGAATGCCTAACAATTATTTTTTGATAGGAGGGTATCATGTAAAGTATGCTGTGCATATCTCTGAGATACAGAGAGTACAGCTTGCTATTTTAATGACAAACACAGCTTTATTTATTATGTACCTTTTATCTAACCCTGTAAAAAACAAAAGTTACTGCATACTGTCTCATGTAGTCCCAGAAGGATCTTATTTATTTAAACTTAGTGATCAATCATGATCATATTTCTAGCATCCATCATAGTATCATAATACTATATAAACACTGATTGAATTTGGGTTGAATTTAATTGAAATTAAATTCTAAACATAATATTAAAATATACTCATCATTCAATATTGTCAGGCCTAACGTTGAAGGTTTTGTAAACCTATAACATACTTTCCGAATGTAAGTTGTTTAAAAATTAACATTAAGAATTTGAAACAAGTTATAGCACTCTTGTTGGCCCCTTGTGGAATATAATTTATATGCTGAGAATAATTATCCCAGAATGTAAAATGATCTGGTAGTTTTTCACGTTAGGATCAGATGACTTGTCCTTGTCAACTCTAAATGAGCCCCAGTAAGAAGAGGAGAAGAACTGGTTCAAAACCTCT